CTGGTTTATGCTATGGTTTGGACTTTACTGGCTTGGAAATACAATCTACTGATTTGCATCGAAGCGTTTATTCAAAAGTGATTTAATCACATGAAGATTTAAAAATTTCTATAAACCTATGACCTCCTAGTCTCCACTATGCTCCGACCCCACTATACTGGTTTTTTTAATTCATAATTTTTATCTTTATAATAAGACCTTAAACAATAAAATCCTTTCATCGGTTTCAAAGTTGTAAGCTATGAAAATGTAGCAAAACTAACAATTTTTTTTTTAATATAAGAGCTTAAATAATTGTTTTAATTCACATTTATCATCTTCTGACAAGCTATTTTTAAAGAGCTTTGAATCTGCTTGCTATCACTCAATGTTTAGGAGAAAATTAAAAATTAAGCGGTTACAAGATATAGTAACACACAGACTTTTTTCCATTTTAAATCATTATACCGCATGGGTATGAAATCCGATCTACTCGTCTATTATCCTTTATTAAACCGTAGACAAATATCTCTATAAATAATAAATATCTATCTTCTCGCTATTAGCGTGTAGCATTTTGTTATTTTTCCTATTCACAACAAACTCTACTAAAGTTATTGACGTAATTTTTTTTAAATCAATCAAACAATCTCTTGCTTACATCAGCCTTTTCTTTGTTATTATGGTTGTACATGTTTAAAAAAAAACTAAGAATATTTCTATAATAATTATTGATAAATAATGCTCTTACAAATTCAAAATGGCAACACCACCTAGTTTGACCCTTAAATTATACCTAAATAAATTTTTAAAAAAGAATACAGACCCAAAATATTTTAAGGGATCGGTTTTTCTTAGGGGTCTTGAGCTGTAGCTCTTTTAGCACCCCCCCCCCCCAGCCATCCCGCATAATCTAGCTCTGTATTCCAGGATTTATTTTAAGTTGTAGTAGGCCATTGCAATTGCAATACTTGCAGTTTGACCGTCCAAGAGCTAAACGAGAAATACTAGAATAACATACCTAATAATAATATGATAAAAAAAAAACTTATATAGGATACAATACCAGGACAACATAATATTGGTTATGTTAAAAATGCTTGTAGATGTATCAATCAAACTATCGTCTTAATCTAAGAGTCTGAGGCAGTCTTGTGGTTGTTGATACCATCGGAGAAGAGTAAGATTAAGGTAATGTAAAAGGAAAAACATTTATATTGAACAGTTATATTTAGTGCAGACGTTGTATTATTATTATTGTATTATAATTATTTTTATATGCTTTGTTAGCAAAACTAATACACCGAGTTATGCGCTTATATCTACTAGAAGTTATGCTTCCCACGGACGAACAAAATCTGCAACAAGGACTTGGCATCCAAGTATTTTATTCAAGTCGTTTGTAAATTTTACAGTGATTTTATATTCACCGTAAAAATATTGTTTCGGAAATCCATTATTGTTGATATCGTCAACGTTAAACCCGGACGACACATAAACGCCCTGTGCATTTTTACAATAATATTCATTTAATAATAAAAAAATATAATACATTGACTAATTGTAAACAAACTAAATTGAGAATTATAATTATTTATATACCACGGACTTACCGGTTTTATAGGACAATCTCCATTATTGGCATAACCAAATGCTTTAGCAAACGATGTCCAGCTTTTTCCCATTAAAAATTTTGTCATAAAACAAGCTCTTTTCGTCGTATACACTTCAGCATTATTTATCCATCCTCCGATTGATCCTTTTACAGCCATGTTAACATTCAACTGCGATAATGAATACAATGAAAAACTAATTCACACGGAACACAACGTGATTCTGATATTTTATATTAATTTATTATGAACAGTATGCATTCATGTGTGCTATAAAATATAAACATGCTACTTTTTAACTAACAATATACATTGTAGGTATGTAGTATACTAGTTGCATACCTAAAAATGCTAGTTTTTAGTCGATTTTAGGACACAGATATTCCATATAATATATTTAGCTTGTTTAATTACATATTAATATCGTATTAATTTACTAACGGTTATTGAATCGTCGAATGGAATCAAGAATGTGCTGTTGCCTTTTAATTCCAACACAGTCGGTGACCTCCTGCTCAAATATATATTGTACTTCAGCAAATGTGTCACCGTAGATTCACAAGACGAATATTGCTTAATCTTCATGCGGAACTCTCCCTGCAAAAAAAAAAAAAAAAAATTAAACCAACAATACCGGTAGAAGTTTTTTGTTTTTAAACTTTTTGTTGCTGTATTATGACGTTTAATATTACCGCAGGTAGATTTGGAAGAAATTTTGGTGTAAATCCCGTAGAGGCCGTTTGGCAAATAATAACAAAAATAACAGAGAAACGGATCAAGTACATGACTGGTTAATCGAATTATAAACTAATAAATAAAATTAAAATGTTTACATAAATATAAGAAATTAAAAATAAAGACAATATTTTCTAGAACAAGATAATTTATCCAACGCATGCTCCAATGAAAATGTCATTTATTATTTTTACCGGGTTTATTATTATCATTAAAAAAAAAAAATAGTTCATGTATCAGATTCTGGTACTATAGAATATTGTTATTGCTTCCCATAAGTATTAATTAGCGTGATCTATCTTATTCATGACAAATCTAATAACGCCGACCATTGCCAAAAAAATGTTTGAAAAAAGCGACCTTCTCCACTGTACCATTGTTGACTATTAAATAACACTTATTATGTACACTGTAATTGTGCGGTAAAAAATCATCTAATTATATGCATTAGGCTGTAGGTAACCGATAATTGTACTTGCCGGTATACCGTCCAATGATTTTCGTTCGGTCATCACATTTTCTAACGATGATGCAAAAAATACCTTCTTTTTTCGGAGCCGTATTTTACTTTAAAAAATAAACATTGATTCGTCAAGTTAAAAACAGAATAATTATCTGATTTGTCAGCTATGTAAAAACAACTGTCTCGTTCGAGAATGTTTCGGACGATTCTGCATCGATCAAAGCCAGAAAAACAAAATATGTTTTAAATAGACTATTATTTGTATTTTATTTTATTATAATTGTTATTATCCAATAAAAATATATGTATATTATAGTTGTCCATATAGTCCACTTTAACTTGAACGGTCTGTTTTCAAGAAGTTTTTCGTAGATAATTTTAAATAAAATGTTTCAATAAATTTCAACCATGTCAATTAATTTGCCGGTTATTTTGTATAAGCAACAAGATACTATAATTAATTTAAACCCAATCTTCTATGAGTAAAAGCCATTTTCTTAGACCAAAATGTCGACTGCATAAGATTGTCCAATTTCAATTCTGCAAAGATATTCTAGTGCTTAATGCTATGTTATGAAGGAAGCCGATTTTCATTTAAAAATTGCCGTTTCCTGTAATTTGACAAATGCAATTTTTTCCATATTAAAACGCGGTTCTTTTGCATAAAAAAATCAAAAATTTGTTTTCAATATTACCTAGTAAAGTTGCCAAAGAATTTAAGTCGGACCTACTTGGGTAGTAGAAATTTTCTAAAACATCAAAAAATCTTGACTTTCTACGATAACAAAACCGAGCCGTAAATTTAAAACTTTTTTACATGATATTATGAATATAACAGACATAAGTTTCAATAAAAAAAAAATAAAAACTTATTACACTCAAGTGCCATTTTTAGACATTAAAAAAAAATGTAATAAGCATAGATATACATATCTATAGTCATATTTATTTTTTATAAATACATATTTTTTTCTAGCTCCGTTAACACACCATAAATTACTGAATTAATGAATTCATAACATAGTCGTTGCCGTTTAAATACACAAGGATAAAAATTTGTGTAATAATTATATTAGGGTTGTCTAAAACAATTTTTTTTTTAACATTTTAATGTCAAAAAAAGACCACAAATATTTTTTATATAATTGTTTTTATTACTTTATATAGTATGAACGAAACGGGAAAAGGCGATAGAAAAGAAAAATCAATTTGGGTTCATGCCATGGAAATCAACTATGGAACCAATATTTTTTATGAGGCAAATTGTGGAAAAGTAGGTTCAGTAGTACAAAAAAAAAAAAAATGGTGGGTATAAGGAGGACGTGAAAAATAGGATAAATTGTGGATGGGAGAGTCAGGTGTTCTGTGTGACAGCAGGATTCCTATAAGATTGAAAGAAAATTGTATAGGTCGGTAGTGAAGCCAGCAATGTTATGTGTATGGGTCGGAATGATGGGCAGTACATAAGAAAACTGCACAAAGAATGAGTGTAGCGGAGATGAGAATGTTGAGATGGATGAGTGGAGTGACTAGGGAAGATAGAATGGGAAATTAATACAAAAAGTGGAGTCTAGGAGTTCAGAGTTGCATGAATTGTGGAGAAAACGAGAGAGAATAGGTTGAGATGGTCCGATGTATTTGTTTTAATTTATATAATTTATTCTATTGAGTAAATGTCATCTTTGGTTTCTTTTCGGCCTAAAAGCCCTAACCTACTCAGAATGATCGGATTACAATTTTCTGTAAAGACATTCTGGTTCTTTTAAACTACTCCTCTACTGGACTGAGTAGGAAATCGATTTTCATTGAAAAAAAAAATGCAGTTTCTCGTGATCGAGGAAATCTGTTTGAAAATTGTTCATGACATTAATACAGAACCAAAATCGGACCATCGTAAGTAGTCTACATTTAACATTTTGTCTGGGTTTTTGGTTTAAAAAGTCAAACGGGCCGCGCGCAATCCCCACACACACACGTTGTCGTTATCATAACAATATAATCAAAAAAGAGAGCAATAACCAGAAGGGAAACCTAGTCGGCACCGATAAGCGTCCGACATTCATTTTGTTTCAAAGTTTCCCTTCTGGTTATTCCGTGTTCACACCGCCCGTTATCACTGTCACTGTTATCAGTACGGCTCGTCCGAGCGCCACCGGAGTGCGTATCGGTTCTCTCTCCGGGATCGCCTTGAATCATCATAATACTATTAGCCCAACGGCCAATAGCTGTTCACCAATCGTTCTTTTATTATTTTTTACATTAATAAAATTTCATTGTTGTTATCTTTCATTCGGCCGCCCCCGCCCATCGGCAACCGCTCGTCTTATCTTTCCGCACGGCGTTTGAAGAAAATATCTGAAATAAAATATGTACTATACTCGTGTGGTGGCCGAAACGCGACACTGTCCCCGCGTTCGTCAATAACATAACTCACGTCAATCGTTTAAACGAAAACAAAAACAACCGCAATAATATCTATATTATATTTTAAAAATTACATGAAATCTCACAACGGCAACAATATTAAATGAACAACCGAAAACATGGGCACCGCGACAGCCCGTTTGACCGTTCGTCGGTTGTCGTCGGCTAATGGCCTTTGTTGTTGTTGTCGCCGCCGTCGTCGTACCGCCGAAAAGACCTCGCCTTGATAATAATAATAATAATATTAAAATTAAAATTCAATAGTCGAGTTTTCGCACGTTATTTTCCGCGAGCTTTGTCGTTTTGTGCGTTCGCCTTCTGGCCGGAGAAAACCGCCAAGGAAAAGATGAAAAAAAAGGTAAACCTACCATTAACATTAGTAAAATGGAATGAAAAAGAAACTGTGACGATTTGAATTTATTTTAAAAAAGTCATCGGTGTTTTTTTTATTCCTTTTTACGCTCCTATGTTGTAAGCAGCGTACGCTTTCCGTGATAACGTCGACAATAGTATTTTATACCATCGTTCGGCTGTAGACTATTGGATCATATTTTTTTTCGTTTCAGGTGCTGTTGATGGGCAAAAGCGGTTCGGGCAAGACCAGCATGCGGTCGATAATTTTCGCCAACTACATTGCCAAAGACACTCGACGACTGGGAGCGACGAGTAAATTGAATGATTAATATTGTACCTACTGCGATTTGGGTCGTTTCGCGTAATATCAATCGATCCGCTCAATAGTTCATTAACGGTTTAGCACATTAGTTACATTATAAATTACATTACGTTTGAGCGGTGTCGGCTCTGTAAGTACACTTTCACAAGTATTATCCGTAAAACTGTACTCGGTTTTAAGTATTCATTTAACCCGTTAAACAAGTAATCTTTGATTGATGTACCGCAACTGGTTAATTTGTATTTCTATATAAAACGTCTCTTTTTCCACATTTGACAATCGAGAATCACTTTAAAAAAAAAAAATACTCATAAGTTGTCATTAATTTTCGATCATCAATCAAGATGTATCCCACTGTAAAAAACGTCAATCCATCGATTACTACGCCAAGTGCGAAGTATACACAACAATTTTTGATTTTACACAGAATGGCCCAATCGCAAGGTTTATTCAAGCCAAACACAAATTATTATTTATTAATCTTAATAATTATGTCCACAGTCGACGTCGAACATTCTCACGTTAGATTTCTAGGCAACCTCGTTCTCAATCTCTGGGATTGCGGAGGGTAAGCGATACGTAACCATTACTAGGATGGTTAAGATTCGGTTTAAGAGATTACAATTTTTTTTTAACACATTGGTTTTTGCAATTTAGACAAGAAGCATTCATGGAGAACTACTTTGTCAGCCAACGCGAGAACATCTTTCGCAACGTAGAAGTGTTGATTTACGTGTTTGACGTAGAAAGTCGTGATGACGAGCTGAAAAGAGATTTAAAGTATTACCAATCGTGTCTGACGGCCATTTACGAAAATTCACCGAGCGCCAAGGTGTTTTGTCTAATACACAAAATGGATTTGTTGCAAGAGGATCAAAGGGATAAGGTGAACAAATCAAACGACATTGCCGTCGACTGTTTTGTCACAATACGGTTTAACTAAAACATTGACTTGATTACTTTTTTCTGTTTACAGATATTTTCCGAACGTGAAAACGAAATAATAAACATGTCCAAGCCAGTGAACTGTACTTGTTTCAAAACGTCCATTTGGGACGAAACGTTATATCGGGTAATTATACCAGTGGCATAGTAGTGTACAAGGGTATAATATGATGTGTGTACTTCTAAAATTGTGTGGACGGAATGGCAATTTGTAGAAGCTCAAAAATAGAAAACATAAAATATTGACAAAAACAATGACATAACAAATGCATTTCTCGTTTAAAGTTTGCTAATTTTTTTTTTATTTGCAACATCAATCCAATTTACGCTAGAAAAGTTTTTAATTTAGCATCTCATTGTTTTGAAAAAAATCTGCCCCTTATTCTTCGAGAAGTTTAAGTTAAATTGTGTAATTAATCGCACTAATTGACGTTTCCAGTGGAGAATTTGAATAGTCGATGACAGATCGTTCACATCAAATTGTTTTTTTTTTTCAAGTGACTGCCACTGTTAAAAATTAAAAGTTTTGCACGTTTTTTTATTTTTTGATTTATTACTAACCGATTAACTTTTCTTTCAGGCGTGGTCTTCGATCGTGTACAAACTCATACCCAACGTCAAAGAGCTAGAACAAAGTTTGAAAATGTTTGCCGACCTTATGGACGGAGACGAAGTGTTATTGTTCGAGCGGGCGACATTCCTCGTTATATCGCACTGTCAAAGGAACTTGCATCACGACATACATCGCTTCGAAAAAGTGTCCAACATCATCAAACAGTTCAAACTCAGCTGCAGGTCGGTGTAGCGCTTTAAAAGTGTTTGTCGTTACGGTGTTTAAAAAAAAAAAAAAAAAATGTTTCAACCTCACCCTTAAGTATTTAAAACGCTCGTTGTGTATTTGTATGTGCACGCAGTAAGGTGGCCGCCCAGTTCCAAAGCATGGAGGTGAGAAATTCCAACTTTGCTGCGTTCATCGACATTTTCACCACCAACACGTATATCATGGTCATCATGTCGGATCCACACATTCGTAAGTACTCGATTGTTTTTCGGAACAATATTTCATACGTTAAGTTGCATTTCGACAATATTTGTTTGGATTTAATGTATATAAAAAAAAAAAATAATAATTTTTATATAATATAATATGTATGTGTTTTCAATAATAGTAATATTATGTTCGTTAATTTTTCTTCGAAATCTTTTTCTCAAATTAACAAAAGAGCTGTAAAACGAATACAGATAAAAACGGGGTTCGGTGACGTAATAATATATCGGCAGATTAAAAACTTGTTTTTGATAAAAAAATTTATTCGTAACCGTGTGTTTGGTTCAAATCACTTCAATCAATATACATGTTATAATATTTCCTAATGATAAAAAAATTACCAAAAAAAGTTATAACCATCATCGGTTTAGAAAACACTTGTAAACATATTTTGTAAAAAAACATTTAAAAAAAGTGTTGTAAATAATAGATAAATTATGAATATTAGATTTTATTATTATTACACATAAATCATAAGGAACTAACAAATGTACAATTTTCATTAAACACTTAACTTATCATTTGATGTGTGAAAACATAATTCTAACTATCTTGGAACTTATGAATCCGTTCTCAAACCATTTGATTGTTGTCGGTTAGTTTAGATGTGAAGACCCATTTTTTTACCTCTTGAGTGTGTAGGTCCCTTTTTAATTATTGATTATATTTTTAAAATTATCAAATTTATTTCAGATTTTACACATACACTCTTTTAAACATTAAAGTTGAAAAAATTCATCAGTCCTTCCGAAATTCAAAACATGAACACCTTAAGAATAATAATTGTGTCCAAGTTTAGATTACAAAGCGACAATACCTTTACGACAAATAGTTATTAACTATTTTTATACTATATAATATAGCTTTGACGTCTAAAACAATTTTTTTTTTTTTAACTTTTCTGGTGTAAGGTAAAATTTATTTGGAAACTGTTTTCTCTCATTTGAGGCTGGATATGGGAAGGGGGAGGAGGGTAAGGACACTCAATATACATTGAAGACTGTAAAATTGTGTTACCCTTAAGGCTACGTAAATTATATTTATATGTTATGTATATATTGTTTATTTTTTTCTCTTTAGCCTCGGCAGCGACTTTAATCAACATCAAAAACGCCCGTAAACATTTTGAAAAATTGGAACGCAAAAGCCAAGCACACCAGAACAACAGCAGATAAAACTAACTAAGTGAACCCAACCAATGGTATAATGTAAACTAACGGTATATTATATTATAAATTGTGGGTTCACTGTTCCGTCGTGTATGATTAATGTTTACATTCGTATCGACAATCGTTGTTTTGATTTATATTATCGTTTACAATTTATTAAATTATTATTATACTATTATAAGTAACCGCTTGAGATACTAGCTTGTCTACTAGCTCACCGTACAATTATACTTACATTTACGTTCACACTTTTCCCTTCAATTTTCTATAGTGTCGAGAGTAGTCGTCGGCTGCTGCGTCTCGTAACTTACTCCTCGAGCTTGCCACATTCGCCTTGCTGCACAGTTATGATAGATTTTGTTTGTATAACATCATAATAATGTTCCTTTTATGCAACACAATATTATGTAAGCTAAATGTTTATTTTCACAGTTACTATACGATTGCCATTCATCCGATAAAAAAATTTACCCAGATCCTCTTTCTCCTCACCCCGTAAAATTATCACTTATAACCCTAATAATGTGACGTTATAATATATATATATTTTTTTAATGTATCTTTGTTAATATGTATGTTAAATTATTATTATTATTATTATCAACTCGTCGATTGTAACAATTATTAAGAAAATAAATGGAGATGTTATATTTTTTTTTTTTTTTTTAGAAATCAAAATTTGTTTTGAATGTTTTAATAAGACGAGTACTCGAATTTGTTAATCACTAATTTGTTTGTTATTAGATATAGTAATCCCATCGAAAACTGTGCTGAAATATTTAAATAAAATAATACACAAGGTTAATCTAATCTATGGTTAGTCTATGTCGATTATAACATTGTTAATTTTATTGAGATTTTACAATTTTAAATACTTTAAGCGAGAATAATAAATAGACAAGCCGGCATTTTGGCCTATCTCCCAAGCTAATTTATCATTTGAAGTATCACAAAAATAATGTCTACCGTATAGATGCTGATAAAAAATTTAATCTGTCACATCGGGTACTCTCTCAAAGAAAACAACTCTAATTATAATAACTTAATCTCAAACGAAAAATATTAGCTTGGGGATAGGCTAAAAATATATTTTTTTAACTTACTTTTATACTTAAAAAAAACAAATAGATGATCAAAACTTTTCAAACAAAATTGTTTAGACTACTCTCTTTTATATAAAAAAAGGTTGTTTGTGTTTAGTTTTTCATACTACGACTTACCCTTTCAGACGATAGTAGCCTATCCAAATAAGAATCCATAAAATTACAGATCTCCCTCCAACTCTACAATTAAGTACATCCTTATTCATTTTTTATTTTTGCATTTAATTAACATGGTTTAACAAGTTTTTATTTTACATTAAACAAATTCTAACTTTATTTTATTATTTAGATTTAACGCCACGAAGGCCCAAGTACGTACATTACTAATAAAATACAGTTGTATTATTCAAATACAATTACTTATAATTAAGTTTCAGTTTAATTTTAAACAATATCAGATTAATATTATAATAATACAACAACTCACTATAATATATTGAATACTTGATATCTAATCAACATTTTTCAATTTGAAAGCTCAAAGCTAAACTATGACACTTGAAAGTACTTAATTTATTTAAAAAAAATAAACGAACAGACAGGAATTTAGACGTATAATAATACACAGTAATAAGGATACATTTTTTTATTTTATTTTTATTTTCAACTTTTAAAACGCACACTGGTCGTATTGGTTTTATAAAAAAAACATATCCGTACCCAAGAGCAAAAGTGCATCAAGTCACAAAATGTAAACAAATGTATTAATAAATAAATAATTATTAAACAATAATTCATCATCATAATCATTAGCTTAACGTACCTTAAAGGCCCAGCGCTGTCATAATGCGATGATTGTTTCTGAATGGTTTCCCCGGTATCGGTGTCCGGAATGGATCGTATGATTAACTAATTAAATCGATGGACCTAAATAGAGCGCAAAATTTAAATCTAGGTGAACAAAAAAAACGGAAAATTTAAATTTTTGACTGGATACATTTTTGCTCCGAGGTACGTTGCTAAAAATATTCTCATTTTAACTTCGAAACAGCATCTATATTGTTCAAATCAATTACAAGGTGTTTTCTATGTGAAAAAAAGTGTTTTTTTTATATATCATTTAAATCGAGAGTAAATTAAATATTGTTTTAATTTTTATACAAAATGTTACTTTTGTTTTTTCATTTACAAAATTGAATTGGCTTGGAATCGGAGTTGAAGGAATATCCGTTTAACGTTAGTCTAAAACACTGTTTAAAATATCACACAATTGTTTTTAACGAGTTTGTCAAATCTCGAGTTTTTTTTTTTGTTCTTGTTATTTTACGGCAACGTAGTGAGAAAAAAAAAAATAATAGTAATAAATTAAAATCGTTATAATATGGTTTATTCAATGATAATAATATTTGTTTCCACAAATGAAAGAAATATATTTTATCGATTGTCGTTATAAGTAAAATAGAAAATTATTGTTCAACATAATTTATATCCATTTGGTAGTCAAGAATCTAGTATAAAAAAAAAGTAATAATAATTTTAAAGCGGCACAATCGAATCATAAAAAAACGACAAACAAGTATTGTTAATCAATCGGCGAAAGAATAACAGTTTCAATTTAAAAGAATAAATATCTACGAAAAACAAATCCTGGGAAAAATAAAAAAATAAAATCAACCAGTTTTTCGGTCAAAGTTTGTTTTTCTATTTTCAATTGGCTAGAAAGTGTGCATCGCGTGCATGCGGTCCAACGTCAACGTCAAATCAGGAAACCATCCTGTCGATTATGTTGGGATTTAACCACGTGTCAGATATGGGAACGCCGTTGTACTTGTAATTTTTGAAACCCGTAACGTGGTGTTTACCTAAGTACCAGTCCACGCAGCAACTGTCTTTGTACGCGTCGTCGTCGACGATATGCCGTGGACCTAGTTTGTCGTCGGCCATGTCTACTATTAGCGGAATTTCGTCTACTAAACAATCTTTGCTACACCGCAGGCGACAGTTCTCCTTGGAATTCGAGTCGGACACGGTGGACAGCGCGTCAAACCGTAACATCACTTGTTTGCCTCGTAAACATCGAAATTGCTCTTTAGGTACACACCAATCGGACACCATCGTTTCGCCCTTTTTCACTTTGAACATGACGTACAAGTTGGTTTCGACCATTATGTTCGACGTCAGTATTTCGTTGAACTTGTCGTTGTTCAATATGCTCCTGAAGACATTGTCGATGTGTTGCCTCGAAGAATGTTGCTTGTCGCTGTGCGAGTAACTCAATTCCGGCACGTGGATATTGAAGACGGTCAGCGGATTTAGAACGTTGGATCCGATTAGAATCACTACCGTTTCAATGTGATTCGTCATGCGACTGAGAAATTCATTTTCAATACACTAAAAAAACCAATCAAATCACAAATACATCAAAGCCTTTTGCAATTTTACAGCTATTTAATAAAACAACAATAACAATTTACCTTAAACACAGTCTCCAACGCATTTATAGTGTCCGACACTTTTTTATAATACTTGTCGGATTCTAGTTTATATTTTTTCTTTATGTTACAATGACTGTTTCCCTGAAAAAGCATATCAACCGAAATTAAAACAATTTAGTGATTTTATTTTTTAGGCTAAAAGTTAGCACTTGACGTTCGGCGGATTCGACAAGTCGTAGCCACTTTAAAGCATTGGCAATCAACGACGCATTAGGTAAGCAAATTTGTTTAACGTATGGCCGCGGATTTCCGATTGAGCCAAAGTTTTATTGTGGCAAAAATAAAAGGTTGTTCGGGTACAGTAAATAATGTGTTCTCGAACAAAACAAACTCACCTCTAACTGTAGCTCGTTATACTTTTTGACGTACAACTTCAAACGGTCGTACGGATAAGGTATGAGCTGTTTCTCGTAAACCAGATACTTCATTAAGGTTGTCAGTAACGTGGAAAACGACCGAGGCGTCATTATGTCGGACAAATGGACACATACGTCGCAAGTAGCCATGGGATTTGTTTTCTGAAAGAAAAAAAACAGATTAACATTGAGCTAAGCTGAATAACAAAAATCTGAATAACTAAACACATAAAACATTAACTATTAACTATTAAAGGAACATCAAGTAAAATAATTCATCATTGGATACATTGGTTAAATGATAAAGTTTTTAATCATTTAACAAACATTCTAAAATTGTTTTTGCTAGTGCTCCGTACTAGCTTCTTCCTAACCTAACCATGGTCCCCATTGGATCAATAACGACTGGACGCGATATTATACATGTTTGATGAACAAGTTACTAATTCAATAAACTATGATGAAGTAATTGAAGCATTAAAAGTCTTAACAGAATAAGAACGAAGGTTAATACTTAAAACAATAATATTAGTCCACGCAATTATATTGTTGTTTATCAGTTTATTTACATTAAACATTTTAACGTAATGCAGGTAAATTATCTAAAATATATTTTCATTTCCTTATGTTGTTCTTATTTTACAACTTGTGTACATTTTTTTTGGTTTATGTGCTGGGATGGGTGGTAAAAAAAAAATAGTAGCCATATTTGCTGCTACAGAAGTCTGCAAACGCCTATGACGATGAAGCGTAGTTTGTCGATAAGTTGATCGATTTCGAATGTCAACAGATAGACAAACCGATAATGTAGAATTCAATTAAGCAAAATCGTTGTTCAATATGTTTTACTCGAACGCTCGACGACGACCATCGACTGTTGTTATCGGACCGAGATTTAACGATACAATTTGATCGTTCTGGATCTTTTGGCCCCCCTCTGGGGGAAGGGGCATACTTTTTCGAAGACGACTTCAAGTAGGTATAGATAAAAAAAAATCACTCCAACTTAACTGACTCGACTTACCTCGTGTATGCAAAGTCGACGGTCTGCGAACCGTAATCGAGTACACAATATAGAAAAACACTATCGGCCAAAGTGTGTCGAACAACGTCGATGTAATTATTATTATTGTACGGTTCGGGCAAAAAGGCAAAACGAATAGTCGTGCAAAAACACTCGGAATTTATTTTTCAAACACTTATCAAATTAAACGTACAAGACAATAGCTGTGCTGATGAGAGCAGCTGCTGCCACCGCTGCTGCTGATAGCAGCTACGGACGGCAGTGGTGTTCAAAATAACGCAATATCATAATCAGTATAATATTATTATTGTACAAATTAAAAACTATCGAATATTTAATATATGATAATGTATTATTATGTTATTTGTATACGTTTCCCGGCGAGGCGCGATTATATTAAAACTGCAATTTATGTAATATATATTTTTGATTTCTTTTAACATTGTTTTGGACACCACTGACAAGCACTGTAGCTGCAGCGGCGTAGGTTACACCGCATAACCTATGATACCTATGGAAAGGGCTCTGATTGGCCTATATTTTTATGGCGGCAATTTCAAATCTATACAATCAATAAACAATAAAATGATTTAAAAAAATTAAAACAGACATTCATTTTTATATATATAGTCTATATATTATATTATATTATTCACTGTGGTTTGTATTTATATTTGTAGATATTATATATTTATATATATAGCTGGGACGTGAATTGATTTTGCTTGCCTATTGATATTGAAAGCATAGTTGTAAAAATATATTTTTTTCTTTTTTATTTATACTGTTAAATTCTAAAGGAATTTCGCGAGTTCATAATAATATTGAAAGTTGAATATAAACAGATATTAGGCTACAACAAAACAAGGTGGTTAGCGTTAATGGCAGCTATTGAGAGAATTTTTCAAATGTATCCAGATTTAAAGTCAAGCAAAATGTCCAGTTTTATTAAAACATGTTATTATTAATCTATCTTCTGAAGCATGGTTTCATTTTATTCGTTCATCTCAATCATACATATTTCACCAAACAGTTTTAAAAATAGAAGGAACTAAATTTTCTATAGCAGACATTTTCCAGGAATTAAATGAACTGAAAAATAATTTGTAACAGAAATGTGAACATGTTTTTATTCCTATGTCAGTAAAGACATGATTAAAAAATACAGAGTTAAACCAAGCTTAGTTTGAGAAATCTATAAAAGAATTTTATCATACATGTAATCAGTAATGAATATTTAGATTTATGGACTGTGCAATTTAAAGAACTAAAATTACATTTTGTTTTTATAATTTTTTTGTTAAGTATAAAATATACTTCATTTTACTAAGGTTATATACTGTATATTACTAAATATTTTATGTTCAATGAAAAATAGATTCGAGTTTTGTTTTTATCCTATTTTGATTATAATTTTTTTGTTGAGAATTTTGATCTGGTCACTTTAAAGGAAAAGTAATTTCTAATTTCACAAACTTCAAAATAAAACTGAACAGTTTCCAAAGCATAAAGAATACCTTTGGGTTGCTGCTGAAGAAACAAATCCAATAGATTGGTGGGTGGGCAGCATATTGTTGTGATACTGAGCTTTCTAAAATTGCTGTTAACATTATATCCATACCAGCCACTTCAGCAGTAGTTGAACACACATTTAGTACCTATAAAGATGTCCACAGTACACAAATAAATATACTTTTAAATGAAAGAGCAAGCAAACTGGTGTTTATAAAACATAATTTACATGTATACATTATGATATTTTAATAATTTTCTGTTAACTATATAAAATAGTTTTTTGTGTTTTTTTAGATATATGATTGTATTATCAAACTGGGATTTAAACCAGACACTATTAATCCCAATGAACAGTGAAAGTAAAGTTACACAGAAAGTAGTAACAATGAAGTAGGTATGGTATAGTTTCAGAAAATGAAAATACAGATGATGATAGTGATGATTTGTTTTCTGAAGTGCCTTTTAGACTTTAATTTCCATACTTTCAATGATGTCCCAATAAGAAATATACACTTTATTAAGACTTACATTATTTATAATTTGACATTTAAGATTGTACTCGTTTAACTATTGCAAAGGAGTTGATTTTTATTTGAGTTATGTTATATTGTTATCTTTAAGTAACATATTATATGGTTATATTCTGTTAATTGTTGTTTGTTATAAATTAGTTTTATAATACAAAAAGTATACTAAAATAAATAAAAAAGAAAGTATTTTATTTTTCACTCCAATAATATAAAAGTTATGTATGTATAAGTTTTATGAAAATTGTTCATAAGTTTCCAGAGAGCTGAAGTGTAAAATAAGTGCACACATTCAAAAGGAATACGTGTATTAATTTTTAATAAAAGAAAATTAAAATATTTTTTGTCTTGATGTTTATTGTGTACATCAATACATAATAAAAATGATACTTTTGAATGAAAAAATAAACTACCCAGTTTAACAACTTATAAAGTGAGTGGTTCATTTCCAAAAAATGCACAACAATTGTTACACAACAATATGTTTAAAGTATTTGCTGATGACATTTGTTAAGTATAGTAACACTATATTATACTATACAGATTGCAGACATACTACTTTATACTTAATATTCATACAATTTACACTATCAGATTTAGTGACTGATTTTTCATTATGTTGTTTTTAAGTTTTCTAGCTAAAAAAAAAAATGTAATGAAACATACAAAGATATATGATTATCTACTAAGTTAGTTATAAATTTATAAACATTATACAAAACTTAATAAAATCTGTATGATATAATTTATCCTATCACTCTTAGTATCCTATTTATAATACATCTACTTATTTGTTTTACTTTATGGACATTATTTTAATACATTCTAAACAATTTCAAATTAGAAATTTGTGTACACTAATATGTTTTAATTTGTTACACTGATGTAGCAAACAAAATGACAACTCTGTCCAACTCTGTCCCGCATAAATACCTTTATAAATATGCTTAGTTCCTCAGCCAACGTAACAAGATATAACAATACCAAAAACATGTATTTTGTAACTTTTTCAATTATTTTTTTCAATTAATATAATCCACCTTATATTGATGGGTTGGCTTTATTCGCAGGATAGACTATGACGAAGTAATCTTAATATGAACATTGACCATCATAAATTTGAAAAACTTACATACCATTAATTAGTCAGTGACATAACACTGATGAAAACCATTAATATAACCTAACGTATTAGCCCGATTTACACAAAAAATACCATATAATGTGCATGTATCAAATGATAATACCGTGTTTTGATAACTTTGTTGATGTAATAAGTACTGTATCAAGTCAATAAAAGTTCTCACTTATCACACGGAGCAATATCAAAATGGGTCGATAGTACCAACCGATAATTATTAGTTTTTTGTTTTACATCTGGTTGCCCGAAATCGACTTAAAAAAAAAAAAAAAAAAAAGCGATTATGGAGGGACCGAAGGGGGCCGTGTCGAATTCGGGTCGTTAGTAGTTTTACGCGTCGCGCAGTTATCGTCGAGACTCTATGCGATATTTTGACGGCGGCCACACCGACCGAATCGACCTAAGATTACACCGAAATAGTATAAAAACAATTTCAATTGTCATTATAAAAATATATTACCCGTTCGGCTATCAAAGCTGCCCCGATTTCTATTAAAAATAAGACTTCCAAACGAACGCTGAACTGTATTTTAATCGAACCGTAAGCCGCTTCGAACGAGTAAACCGTCGCGACTAAGACGTCTTTACGTTTGTTCAAATTTATTTTATATATTTTTGAAAGTTCGAGACCGATTTATTACGCCTGCTCAACAGTAGTATTGTTAAATATCTAGACTCGCCCGTGATGGTCGGGGGTCCATATTATGACGAGACAGCACAGTGTATAAACTGAACGACGAGTAGCCCGTTTACAAACCGATTACGTTGCAAAAAATGAATATCGGTATTATCTTTTAAAGTTTTATGATTGACGTTTTGGTTTATTTTGTCTCGAAATAAATGTCCAAAACCCGTTTTTTTACCCGATAAACATATACTTTATGTGTAGGCTTATTTCCAAAAGTTATTGTCTGCAGTAATTGCCAAGAGGCATGTAATATTGACCGTTTGTCAAATAAAAACTTATTACCATCACAACGGTATTACATATTATTATATTTTAATATTAAAGTCGGAAACAATTATTTCTCATTTTATTAAACGAAAATGCTAAATTATTATTGTAAAATTAGAAATAGAAATAGAAAATGTATTTTATGAATAAAATCGTTGTTTTTTTTTTCTCCAGAAATAATCTACTTAATTCCAAAACTTTTCGTTTACTCACATTTGAGTGCCGAACCTAGTTACTTTTTCATTTGAAACGTGGTTGGAAAAATAATTTAAAATATAGAGCAATTAACAAAAAAAAATTGCAATTATTAGATAACAACTATTTGTCTTAATTATTATGTCTTTAAACGGTTTTTTTCATGTTTTCCCAAAATGTCAAAAAGTGTTGACTTTTATAATTAACTGTATATTATGGGCTAGGTATTCGATAAACAAAATACAAACACCAGCTGAACAATGGCCATTTCACATTAGCAAGTAATATATTATTATTATTATACGTCATTTGGTATATTATATTATTTAGTTTTGAGAAACGTATAGAACCTATTGATGTCGTCACTGCCCGTGTATTTTAAATTAAGTGCCGCGGAAACGTGTGGGGCTCATCTGTCTACCTAATTTCAGTTAAAATAGTTTTAAACAATACACCACAATCTACGGGTTTTTTTTTTTTTTTTAATAACGCTTCCATCCCTCCCGTCGGACAAACCGGATAGAAAATAATAATTCCTTTATACACCACGTTCTACAACCTTTCAAATTCATATCGACTATAACGCGGCCGCCGCCGCCGCCGACTTCTTCCCGCGCGCGCCAAAAATACATTTTACACTATCCCGACCCGTTCATCGTCTATCGCCTATTATTTTACCCGCTTTTTTTTAATACAAATAATACTTCAATAAAAACGGTCGTTGGAAATTTTCAAGATTAATCTAAAAATGTAAGTAACAACATTCTCGGGGGTATACCCACGACCGTCGATAATAATAAAACTATCAAGTACAAAACTGTTGTATTAATTTTACCAACAGCGCGGCGCCCGCTGTAAGGTCGATAAAGAAATAATTATAACGCATGTAGTGGCCCTGAAAAGGGCCGTTTTAAAGAGGATTTGTAGTGTTTGAGACGATTAAGCACGTTCTCCGCGAATACGGCGAGCTAACTGGATGTCCTTGGGCATGATGGTGACACGCTTGGCGTGGATAGCGCACAAGTTGGTGTCTTCGAACAGACCGACCAAGTATGCTTCGCTGGCTTCTTGCAGAGCCATAACGGCCGAGCTCTGGAAACGCAAGTCGGTCTTGAAGTCTTGGGCGATCTCGCGGACCAAGCGTTGGAACGGCAATTTGCGGATCAACAGCTCGGTGCTCTTCTGGTAACGACGGATTTCACGGAGAGCCACGGTACCGGGACGGTAACGATGGGGTTTCTTCACTCCTCCGGTCGCCGGTGCGCTCTTGCGGGCGGCTTTGGTGGCCAACTGCTTCCTGGGAGCCTTGCCTCCGGTAGATTTGCGGGCGGTTTGCTTGGTACGGGCCATGTCGGTAGTTCGTAGACTGTCTGTAAAAACTCGAAACGGTCGAATGTGTCTCACACACCGAACGAGCTGGTTATATACAAATTCGGATCGTAGGCGCGAGTTGTCATTGGTCGACGGAACGGCCTGCCGAAACAGAGGGGGTTCGCGCGATACCGCGCCGTGATTGGTCCGCGCGACGGCCCGATTACATAAATACGACGCGAAAACGTTGTCCGGGCATCATTCGATTTGTTTCTTCAGTCCGACGCAGCTCTCCGAACGACAATCAGCAACAATGACCGGACGCGGCAAAGGAGGAAAAGGTTTGGGAAAAGGAGGCGCCAAACGTCATCGCAAAGTGCTGCGGGACAACATCCAAGGAATCACCAAGCCGGCCATTCGTCGGTTAGCCCGCCGCGGTGGTGTCAAACGTATCTCCGGCCTGATCTACGAAGAGACCCGCGGAGTGTTGAAGGTGTTCCTGGAAAACGTAATCCGTGACGCCGTCACCTACACCGAGCACGCCAAGAGGAAGACCGTCACCGCCATGGACGTGGTCTACGCTCTGAAACGCCAAGGCCGCACTCTGTACGGTTTCGGAGGTTAATTCCCGACGACCGTTCGCATTGCACCCTACCTACTGTTCTTTAAAACGGCCCTTTTCAGGGCCACCATTTTATATTATTACAATTATTCATTAAAGTTTATGTCGTTTAATGCACTTCGCAGTCGGCTACACGAGTACGCTAATATAATATTATGTGTCATGTGACTGGATGCGCAAAATAGTTGATATTATGAAGTATTATACCGTATAAACTAACAAAACGTTATAGCGTATTGTCATTATAAATACACACGAGTAGTTTTAACGGTATACATTTGTAATTGTTCGAATTAATATTTTTTGTAGTAAATACAGACTATTATGTTCTCTGTAACATACATGCTAGTTGACATAAAAAAATAAAACAAACTAAATGCATAATTTAACATAACATGCTAATTGTATATTTGTATATTATACAATTAGTAGAACCGCACGTGGGTAATATACGATTTTTATAACTATAGCCCATTGGTAAAATAAACATATATGATATAGTACTAATTTATTATCACAATTATATAATATTGTAAGTCGTTGATCTAAATCTATAATATCGATGACAATATTTCGATATTAACCAATGATGTTATCATTGTAGTGCCGGCTGATGTTGTAGCAAACTGGAATGTTGGAAAAAAAATGATTTATGTATATTACACATAAATATTATTTTATAAATTGTTATTGACCTAGAAAAATAACTAAAGTAGATTTGCTGAAATTCTAAGTTATAATTGTTTAAATATACCTATATTTTCTAAGGCTCGACAAAATAATGTAACGATATTTTTCGCCCAACATAGCACATCATTTTATACCGAAAACACAACAAGAGTGTTGCGCAATAATAGTAAATATTGGTGGCCCTGAAAAGGGCCGTTTTAATATTTGTAAATACGGCGACGACGTTCTTATGCTTTCTTTTCGGTCTTCTTGGGCAAAAGGACGGCTTGGATGTTGGGCAACACACCGCCTTGGGCGATGGTGACGCCGGACAACAGTTTGTTCAACTCCTCGTCGTTCCTGATGGCCAACTGCAAATGTCTGGGGATGATACGGGTCTTCTTGTTGTCACGGGCGGCGTTACCGGCCAACTCCAACACTTCAGCGGCCAAGTACTCCATGACGGCGGCCAGGTACACGGGAGCGCCGGCACCGACGCGCTCGGCGTAGTTGCCCTTCCTCAACAGACGATGGATACGACCGACCGGGAACTGGAGTCCGGCACGGGACGACCGGGTCTTCGATTTGCCGCTCTTTGCTTTTCCTCCTTTGCCGCGTCCGCTCATGATGCTCGATTGTAGATTGTCGTGTAGTGAAACGAGAGAAAATCCAGACGATACTGATGATCGGAACAGGCCAAAATCGGTATTTATACACTTATACGACGTAAACGCGTCTGTATGTTGGCCTACGTTTGAAAATAACAACGATGAAAAACCACACTTCGTAGGTATGAACGTCCCAAGCTATGTGTTGTTTATACTCGTCGTGTTTTTCTTTGATGCTTAGACGTTGACGATGAAAAAACGGCACATCGTAGGGTTCGCTTTTAAACACAAAGTGTTAGTCTTACTCGTCGTTTTTTCGTCGACTCTTACAAATCGTACTCGATAAACGAAGTCGCGACGCGTAATAAATATGAGCGTAAACGATTTTCGAACCATCATTCGTCCACCAGCTACCGGCCAACTATTTCGACGACCCGCAAACCGTGTACAACCGCAGTCACTATGGCACCAGGAGGTAAATCCGCAGGCAAGGCCATGAAGAAGTCCGGCAAGGCGCAGAAAAACATCACCAAGTCCGACAAGAAGCGCAAGCCGAAGAGGAAAGAATCGTACGGTATTTACATCTACAAGGTGTTGAAACAAGTCCACCCCGACACCGGCGTTTCCTCCAAGGCTATGAGCATCATGAACAGCTTCGTCAACGACATTTTCGAACGCA